TAGCACTATCCTATTCCACTTTAAACTAGATTTCACAAAATAATTGAGAGCCAAAATAAAAACGACACTTTTCCCTCCAAAAGATCCAGAGCGAATCCGTTTAATTTGAGCTCAATTTGAGCTTCATTGTGAACACGACCATTTCTTTTCGTGAACTGTCAGACAGATTCCACCAATAGGAGTACAGATCACGCAGCCAATCAGAGGCCGTATGCATCGGATTCTTGTGTCGCGGATTCCTGGGGTGGACATTCTCGGGTCGAGCATTACTGTGACGTACATTGCTGTGTTGGGCAATATAGGGACTCAAGAATTATACCTTAAACTTCCACGTCTGAGGGGAGGCAGGTGCTTCAATAGTGGGGAATTTGAAATGAATAGACTGATGATGATAATGACGAATAATTACTAATTAATTTTGCATTCCTCGTAACAACTTACGTTTTCCACTTCTTCAATTCTGAGAAAATATTGTTATTGTATTCTTTTTTGCTCAAAGGGCCGTCTAATCCAAAGGCCCTTGTAGTATTGTTTCGTGTAGAACACGATAATACCTAGATATCGTTGTGTAAAACAATAATGGATTCAAGCGTTTTCTCTGATTTTTGACCTCTTTTTCACACGGATTTACCTTCCACAGTCAACGCACCAAAACCGTCAATTTTCACTTGAAGTTGTCGGACATTTCTTTTACTAAAAAGTTTGAAAATATTGAAAAATTTGATAACATTTAGTATCGCAAAGGTTATAATTTTTGACGTTTGACGCTTAATTTGAGCTCAATTTGAGCTTCATTGTGAACACGACCCATTTCTTTTCGTTTACTGTCAGACAGTTTCCACCAATAGGAGTACAGATCACGCAGCCAATCAGAGGCCGTATGCATCGGATTCTTGTGTCGCGGATTCCTGGGGTGGACATTCTCGGGTCGAGCATTACTGTGACGTACATTGCTGTGTTGGGCAATATAGGGACTCTAGCACAGATAACTGCAGACAAGTAGATTCTCTAGTTGACTTACCATCGACAATCCAATAAGCTTCTTCATCCAGTGTTGCCATATCTATTTACATGTTTACATCTAGATATCGCGAACGTCGCGAGAACATTGTGCAGGCACGTGTTATTTTTCTGTCTATAAATCACACAAAAGCCCAAATATCACATGTAATTATATATATTTATGTATTAATAAAATTTTTATTGAATTGATATTCAATTATTTTTTGTGAAATTACTCCACTAGTTTGTTATAATTACTAATACAAAGATCGAACACTCAGAAAAAATTCCTTCGATGCGGTCGGATTCGAACCGACGTCTTCTTGCATACCGTGCCAGACGCTATACCAACTAAGCCACGGAACGAACCAACGGACCTCACGAATCTTTTTATGTGCTTGCGTCGTGTCTTTGTATTTGGTTTTTCAACGACTTTTTAGTCGTAGCGCCATCTATGAGAAATCTATGACAGATTTATCACCCAGTTAGTACCTTTACAGCTACCAGTCCTGGTGAGAGATGTCGCTATTCACTATATTAATTAAATTTTTATTGAATTGATATTCAATTATTTTTTGTGAAATTACTCCACTAGTTTGTTATAATTATTAATACAAAGATCGAACACTCTGAAAAAATTTCTTCGATCCGGTCGGATTCGAACCGACGTATTCTTGCATACCGTGCCAGACGCTATACTTTGTATTCTTATTATTGCACTACTTTCATTTATTTCCAAAATTAAATGGAAGTATTAAAGATTCACTTAAATCAGTCACTGATATTAATTCCACACCAATGCATAAATACAAAAAAGCTTACACTATTTGGAATCTGTTTAAAAATTTCTCTATGAAAATATGAATCTTAAAGTTGGAAATGTATAGGATTTATATTTCAAAGTTTTCTCTTTTTTATTTACTCTCAAATTACAAATATAATTTTTTTCTGTGCAAATTCACTTTTCGTAATATTTGAGTATTTGTAAATGCAAAACAATAAATTCAAAATTTCATGTGAAACTCCCGGATATTCTCATAATAACCTAAAATGTTCCCATATGGAATATTGATCTACTTTAATTAAATGATTGCATGTCGATAATGACTTATCGATAGATTATGGTACGACACTAAAGAAATCCGGCATTTGTTCGTTCAATTTTTGTTTAGGTATGCACTTTCATTCCGTAGTTAGGGCAGTTCTTTTCTTTTATTTTTGTTCTATCCTCTAAAGTTACGCTAAGACGCTATTTTGACATTTGGGAGCACGTTCTCAAACTCAAATATCGTGAATTTCATCCTAACGGATGACCAGCGAATCAGCCGAATGATACGATAATATCGGATTGATTTGGTCTATCGGTATTTTTTTGAATATCGATATATGCACTGCTCTAACCACTGCACTCCTAGCAGATGTTATAAGTCGTCACCAAATAAGACGCCAAATTTGACAGCTAAAGAAGGCGATAGTATGTAACTTTGAATGCGATCAACGAAACAACAAACAAACAATAATTAGCATAGGTACCTACTTAGTACATAAATAAAAAAATACATAATTTTTATTGAAACATTATATAATATGTCAAAACATAATATTTGAAGAACTGTTTTCGCACGAATTCCAAAATAAAATTCAATTTTGAGTTACTCCGAAACGTCCTGCAGGCCTATTGCGTAACTCAACTGACAGCTTATAATGATAATCACCGAATAAAGTGCTCAACTACCTTGTGTCAAACAGTTACGTACTCAAGCTATTTTTTCTTAAATAATAGTGTTGTAAGCAATTAATCGCCATATTTCACCGAGTCACTTCGATTTATCGGAAAAAATATTGACTTAATGTAGTTGTTTTATTGACGAACGTACATTTACACTAAATTCTTATAATAAACCATTTATGAATATTATAAAATCTAAATTAAAAGAATTGGATACAATTCATCGGAATGTGGGACAATGTTACGAAAATAAGAGGAATTGATGTATCAATCAACAAAACAAAACAACAAAATCCTGTAGGATTGCAAGGAATTCTGTAAATAAATTGCTTTTAACTGAATTAAAAAAAAAAACTGAATTCAGTTAATTGCACGATTTGGCCTTTTAGGGCCCCTGAACAACAATGAACCGAAAAGTAATATAAACAATCACAAACTCTTAAAATTTTGAATCAATTTATCGTGAAAATCGTATAATGTGATTACCGATATAATTAGTCCACATCCCTATTTGCGTCACGATGACAAGTGCCAAATTTGGCCTATTTGGTGACGAAGATTGTAATTTGAAAAAATGTCGGGTTTTCGAAGTTACGAGTACAATTTTTACAAAGATTATTTTTGTTTTAAGTATATTATGAAGAAAAAAGGAAGAAAGAAATAGTGATGAAAAAAGTTAGAACTATATTCTTTATCTTGAACCAAATTACAAAAGACTTTATCCTGAAAATTCCATTAATTACGAATTTAAAGTTTTTGTTCGATGATAATGTGATAAATGATAATGTGTAAAAACATAAATATTTACTTCCGCCGCTGAAAGGACTATGTAAAAAACCCAAATAATTGAACTAAGTTACTTGAGAGAAATTGAAAACATAAAGTATTATATACTACTACAATAGGAAAAATATTACTGAGTATCCTTCTATTTAAACGAAGACATGGCTCAAAGGACTTGACTCCAAGCCATAACTCTTAATAATAAAAAAAGAAGATTGTAATTTCAATTACAATCATTCAATCAGAATATCAGGATCACAAACTAATAAGAGTTACTACGTAATCAAGGTCGTGATCAGGATTCGTTCTGGACCTTTTGGAGGGAAGTGTCGTTTTTATTTTGACTTTCAATTATTTTGTGAAATCTAGTTTAAAGTGGAATAGGATAGTGCTATTGTGCCTTAATCGAAGATTAAAACGCGAAATTATACGAATCTCGAACTAAAATACCCGTATCGGCCCGTTTTAAGGAATCCCGAGTCAATCCAAGCGCGCCGCCTCAAATTGCCTATCCTCTTTGTGGCGGCCATATTTACAGAAACATAATTAAACTTCATGTTTAGGCGCATGGCTTTGCCAAAGCCTTAATAAATTAAAAAAAACAAAAGACCTTTTAGAGGGAAAAGTGTCGTTTTTATTTTGACTTTCAATTATTTTGTGAAATCTAGTTTAAAGTGGAATAGGATAGTGCTAGTGCCTTAATCGAAGATTAAAACGCGAAATTATACGAATCTCGAACTAAAATACCCGTACCGGTCCGTTCTAAAGAATCCCGAGTCAATCCAAACACGCCGCCTCAAACTGCCTATACTCTTTGTGGCGGCCATATTTACAGAAACAATTAAACGAAGACATGGCTCAAAAAATAATGTACCAAGACTTGGCTGTATGGTGTAAAACCTTTGCCTTTTCCTTTATGGAAAGAAGAAAAAAAAATCAATCAGTCAGTCAGTCAGTCAATGGTTGCGATACGATATACTTTAATTCGAAATTGAATCATATTTTGCTATGAATATTCTTAGGTTACCTTGATAAAATAAAATAAACAGACATGTTAATTAACGGAACGATTCCGTTAAGGTTTAAATCATCTGAATTACACCATTTTAATTGGTTATACAGCATCGCACCATGTTTCGCGGTGAATGCTTCGAAAATAAATATTATTACGGACCCTCGGAAGTTTTACGATACTTTGTGTGAAAGATTTAAGAGCGCTAATCATAGAATATCAGTTGCTAGTCTGTATATTGGTACAGGAGCCATGGAACGTAGGTTACTGGAGGTTACGAAAACATCTGTGATTTCAAGGAATTTAAAGTTTAATGTGTTGTTAGATTATCAGCGAGGAACACGGGGAGAGATAAACTCGCGGACGCTTCTTCAAGAATTTGTAAATGAACTACCAGACCGGTGTAACGTGTTTTTGTATCAAACTCCAAGATTGCAAGGGTCTTGGTCGAAGGCACTTCCCGCACGGTACAATGAGATAGTTGGACTGCAGCACATGAAACTGTACATAGTTGATGACACGGTGCTACTGAGTGGCGCAAACTGTTCCAATGATTACTTCCAGCAAAGACAGGATCGGTATATAGAAATTAAGAATTGTGATTTAGCTGATTTTTACTGTGAACTTATAGGTACGACTGAGTAAGTTTTCGTTAAAATAGTTTTCTTTAATTATTTTCAGTAACAACCTATAGGGTCATGGGTTTGTACTTGACTATTTTGAGAGTTTCTAAAAATATCTATCATTGATTTTATGTGTCATTCAAAAATTGAAAATGTTAATACTTTTGTATTTTTCAGGGGAAGTTAGTAATTACAGCAAAAAGTGTACTAAGAATGGTAATATTGACAATAAATATTTAAAAAAGGAGGTGATGATTCAAGAACTTAATAGAAAGATTGAAAGTTTGGTTGAGAGATGGATGGAAAACCAACGTCTTAAATATTTGGAAGATTGTAGTGGTAAGTAGATACATTAAATGTAATCATTTACTTTAAAACCTAGCTTTTATTTATTTAGAAGATATTGAACTGATTTGTATGAGACTAAATAAAGGGCGGCTGTATGCAACTCGACATCTAAATGTCTAATCCTTAATAATTTCCATTTGGAAGACTATTATAGATGATTAGTTTTTGCATTTTAAAGAGTAAGATAAACTGTCTCTCAAGAAGCTGTGCTGGTGACATTATGACTATTTTGTCTGTGCACAGCTACAGTCTTATACTATTGTGCTACTCAGCAGTTTAACTTCAGAGAGTTCAATCTGTGTTGTGTGGTTTGATGATAGCTGCAAACAGTTGTTAAAAAAAAAAGAACTTGTACATTTATTTGGGGCGCATTATAAGTTTCCGTAATGAGTAAGAAAAAAATACTATGAATGGTCAGAAATGAATTTATTGTTTCTCAAAATATTCTCCATTAGCGTTAATGCACATTTTTATATGAATGAACCAATTTTGAAAACATTTATGCCACTCCTCCATGACAATCTCATGACTAAATTCAGGTGATGAAAATCGTTGACTGCGTAACCGTAAAAAAATTACCGTGGTGCAAAATGATACGGCGTTTACGGTTGTTTTTACAAAGTTTGTCAATAACTTTCAGCAAAAAAATTGTCGTGTACCAATCCCTATTCACGGTACAACGATTCTCCAAAGCAACAGTAGCCATGTGTCCAGTTTTATTAAAAAAAGGAACATCATCCGCTTAGAGGCACTTTACACGCGCGCCACTTTTCATTATCTTATTATTATATATATATATAGCAATATCATAAAAATATTCTATAACTCTTTTGTTATAACGTTTAGTAACGTTTGGTTTTTTTTTCAGTTTTGTAGTACTTGTTATCAGTAGTATCTGTAATTTCTAATTTTTGCAGCACGTTGCCTCGAATGTCCGAATATAGTGAGCAAATAATTACATACATCGCCGGATATGTAGTACGAGTAATAAAAAAAATATATAATGCAAAGAATTAACAATGCTCTGTCTTTACAAAAATCTGGAGATGGTCATGCGTATGAGTTCGTTGCTTTCGAGGACGAAGGTGGTCTAGTTTATCCCACCTAAGATGCTATCCAACTATGCAGAGTAACAGAGTTAGAAATCAGAGAAATAATAAACAAATCACAAAAATTTCACATGAGGCCTTCATTACGTAAACCTCTTCTGATTAAAAAGATTTTACCTTATTTTGTCAGCAGTAACATTTTCATTTGTCTTGCTATTCATCAATTTGATCAATTACCAACAGAAAACAATCTAGTAAAATTAATTAAGGCAGTCGCAGTTCATATATTATATTGACGTGCGTTTTCATTATTTAAGTTAATCGATAAGAACAAAAGTACAAAAAGATGTTGTATAGAAGACAAAGATGTTGTATAGAACAACATCTTTCGTCGGTTTCAGTTTACGGGGTGTGCTCATGCTCTTCGGTGGCACAGCAGTTAGTACTATGGGCGCTTGATGAGGAGGTCGATTCCCGATTTATGCCAATTTAAGAAACGAACATTTCTAAGTTGGTTTTGGTCTGAGTATTCTGGGTTATCGTTGATTTGGTGTTCATAGCACCTACATAGTACAGGAAACTCGGCAGTAGTTTGGCATTTTTCTACCTAAATACTTCTCTTTGGCATAGCTTTCAAGAAAATGAAATCTAACATAGAGACGGTTGAGATACAACAACGCTATAATAAGTATCTCATTTCCACTACATCGGGGAGCATGCTTTACATTTTTACAATTGTGAAATCTTGTACTCGTAATCTATTACGTTCCGTATATTATCTCCATTTGATGGTGTGTAGACGCTTCGGGCTTCGCCCTCCGCGGACCTCGGCACTTATGGCTTTCTTTAAAAAAAAATGAAATAGCTCTTTAATGGCGGCCATATTTAAAAATTGCAAAAATATATTTTGACCACTAATTATTATCAAACAATCTTAAAAATGTTTTCGTGCCAATTTTCAGTCCGATCAAAGCAAGTTTTTTCAATAGCCATTTATATAAAAAATTACGGCTATATCGAAAAACGGCAGAAACAAAATTTTTACCCCACATTATGATTGAAGCCATTTTCAGTCGAATTAGAAGAAATTTTTAACTACTGCCAAAAAAGTTTGTATGGCAGCCATATTGAAAAAAGGCGAAAAATAAATTTCGACCGCAAATTATTATCAAACACCTATAGAGATCCCCACATGTCGATTTTCAATTGAATTAGAGCTAATTTTTGTTAGTTGTTGAATGGCGGCCATATTAAAAAATGGCGTAAAACCATTTTTGATCACAAATTATTATCAAGCATTCCTAGAGACCCACACATGCTAATTTTCAAAGGGATCAGAGCATTTTTTTTCTGCTGCCAACGAACGCTTCTATGGCGGCCATATTTTAAAGTGGCAAAAAACCAATTTTGACCACAAATTATTATCCGGCACTTCTAGAGGCCTCTGCATGCCAATTTTCAGCCGAATCAGAGCAAGTCCGTTTCGGCAGCACTTTTGACGAAAAAAACACTTATATGACAGCGATATTAAAAAATGGCGAAAAGAAACTTTTGACCCCAAATTATGGTTAAGGACTCCTAAAGACCATACCAATTTTCAGCCGGATCGAAGCAAGTTTTTCTTCTATTTTGAATTCGCCATCTTGTTTTTTTAACCCAGGCAGTTGACCACTATTAATCTCTATGACGTTCCTTCGAGCACCTCCTACCTATCTCTAATAGTTTCCGTGATAGGAGACTTTGAAATTTGTATGGCGGCCATCTTTTTTATTTGAATTTCGAACATTTTTTACTTCCGGCGGAAATTGACCAGGGTGTACCTCATACAAGTGCACAAATATTCCCTCCATATATTATAGTTTTTGCAGGCCGTTGATCACTCTTTCATATTTTCCACATTTAGGTTTTCTCATATTTGATTCTTTGCTTTGGAATCTATTCGCGTACAACGGTATAAATATCTTTTTTCCACCATATCGGGAAGTATGCGTTCTATTTCTATCAGTGAGTATGAACTTGTAGCGTTATATAGTATAACTAGATGGCGCGCGTTGCGCCGGGCCGCTAAAGCGGCCCGCGAGGGCTTTCTTTGTATCTTGTGGCAAATTGGGAGTTGAACTTTATATTTCAGTAGAGAATCCTTTTAGTTGAGTTTGGATGGGAGGAAGCAGGGTTGTCGACTGCTCCAGTTTAGTTACATGTATAGGTAGTTGGTACGAGTATGATCGCGTCAAGTTGTATCCTTAAATATCTCAGAACAAATCAGTCGTATATCATCGACAGCTGCGAAGATTCAGAATAGTCAATTTCGTATGGCGGCCATCTTAAATTCGTCATATCAGAACACTTTTGATTCTGGTAGAACCTGAGTAAGATTCTTGACAACTTTTATTTGAGAGCCATGTGCCCATCTACGATACTTGAGCGAACGGCTTCTGTCCCTCCTGATGCGGAGCACTATTCCAAGATATCCGGATTTTCTCGTACTCACTGAATCCTTCCGGCACTATTCCTGTAAATCACTTTAAACTATCTCTGTTCCTTCTGGGAGAACTATTACCTAAATGTCTACATCAGTCAGTAGTAATCGAGCTACACACGTAAAGTATGTAAAGCGGCCCGTGAGGCCTGTGTATTAGGTTTGTGACAGTTTGCTGCTTGTAGTGTTTGTTTCAGAAATATATTTTTGTTAAGTTTATTTGTTCTGAGGGAGTCAGGTAGTTGGTATGATCACGTCAAGTCGTATCCTTACATACTTCAGAAGAAACTACTCGTATATCATCAATAGTTGCGAAGACTCAGTAAAGTAAATTTTTTTATCGCGGCCATCTTGGATTCGCCATTTTGGAAAATTTTCTGTCCCGGTAGAACCTGATAAGGTTCCTTGACAATTTTTGTTTGAAAGCCATACACCCATCTCTGACGCTTTGGCCGGGCAGCTGGTGTCCTACCTGATGCACACTACTTCTTTTCTGGTATTCAATATTCTTAGTCAAACACAATCCTTGTACATTTATTTAACACAACTCGATTCGTTCTATTAGAACAATGATGTTGGACGGTGAAAAATGTATGGCGGCCATATTGGAAAATGGCGGAATCAAAAAAACCACAAACGCAATATTGTATTATGGGACCTTACACACGGTCAGGTGCCAAATTTCAGCACTATCGGTGTTTTTTTTGGCTGCCATCTTGAATTGGTCATTTGGGAAAATAAATTTGACAGCCGATTGGCTCCTGTCACCCTCACGGACATAAGTTTGAATATAATTTACCTATATCTAATAGTTTTAGAGATATATTGCCTCGAATTTGTACGGCGACCATTTTGTTTTGCGAATTTTGAATTATTTTTTTTACTCCCAGTAGAAACTCCCCAGGGTGTGGAGCAATATTTGTTTGGAGACCTTAGGGCTAAAACGCATACTTCGCTCGTGCAGCTGGGGTCCTATCTGATGCGGAGCACTTTTCGAAGTTTTGGGTACTTTCTGATACTCACCAAATCGACCCAACCATTATTCTTCAACTCAAAATTCACTTGTATGGCGGCCGTCTCGGAAAATGGCGGGATCCAAATTTCGCTCGCAGATACATACTATGAACCTCCACATACGATCGGTTGTCAAATTTCAGTCGGATCGGAGCACTTTTATTTCGGGCCGCCATTTTGAGTCCGCCATCTTGAATTTTTTTTTACCTGCAGTTGGCTCGTACTATTCTGCACGACATTTGTTTGAGCGCCTCTCATCTACCGCCAATACTCGCCGAGATGTAAACTTCGGAACATAGTGGACTGTTGAAAATGTATGGCGGCCATATTGGAAAATGGCGGAATCTAGAATTTGACCGCAAATTCGTATTACGGGCTCCCAAACATGAAAGAATATAAAATTTCAGCCGGATAGGAGCACCGTTTTGTCGGGCCGCCATCTTGAATCG